AGGTTTTACATTTAAGTCTTTGATCCATCTGGAGTTATTTTTTGTATATGGTGTGAGGTATGATCTTGTTTTATTTCTCTATAAATAGATAACCAGTTTTGCCAGCACTATTTGTTACAAAGAGACTGTCTCTTCCCCATTTAATGGATTTTGACTCTTTGTCAAAGATCAGCTGACCATAGGTAAATGGATCTATTTCTGGGTTCTCAATTCTGTTGCACTGGTATATATGTCTGTCGTTATACCAGTATAGACTTTTTTGGCTACTGTGCCTTTATAGCAGGTTTTGAGATCCGGGAGTGTGAGACCTCCTACTTTGTTCTTCTTCAGTTGTTGTTGTTGTTGTTGTTATGTGCTGTCGAGTCAGACCCGACTCATAGCAACCCCTCCTTGGGTTTCCGAAGCAGTATCACTACGGAAGTATATTGCCCCATCTTCCTTCCAAGGAGTAGCTGGTGGGTTTGAACCGCCAGCCTCCTGGTTAGCAGTCAAATGCCTTAGGCACTCTAGCACCCTAGCACAGAATTATTGAAAAGAGTAAGTATAGTAATTTTTATAATGCTTCTGCAAATAGCCACTTCTTAAAGGAACAGAATTAGTGCTCTACTTAACTCTCTTTTTCCTTTCCATATAAAATTAGTGATTAGTTTTTCCATATCCTTAAAGTATGTTGATGAGATCTGGATTGGGATTGCATTGAATGTATAGATTGCTTTGGGTAGTATTGATATTTTCACAATGTTCAATTTTCCTATCCATGAGCATGGTATGTTCTTCCATTTATGTAGATCTCTTATAGTATCTTGAAGTAGCATTTTGTAGTTTTATTTGTACAGGTCTTTTGTGTCCCTTGTAAGATTTATTCCCAAGTGTTTTATGTGTTTGGTAGCAATTGTAAATGGTATTGATTTCCTTATTTCTTTTTAGCAATTTCTTTGCTGGTGTAGAGGAATACAAGTGATTTTTGTATGTTGATCTTGTATCCTGCCACTATGCTAAATCTC